AGGATTTAAGGTTTACGGTTTAAGGTAGGGTAGTTCTGGGGGTTTCGATTGGGGCTGCGGGTGCAACATTCGGGTTGAGGCGTTTCGGGGCTCTTTGAGTGGTAAATGCAAAGATTTTCCAAAAGCAGTGCACCCTGATGGAGAGGGAAGTGAGTGATGCCGCAGCATCCGGTGGCACTTGCGAGGGAGGATAATGGGCTAAAGTTTGTCGGCCGTGCACAGCCACTCTTCGAAGCCCAGTAACCGCCGCAAAGGTAAAGCACTACTACGATGCAATCGAACACGAATATAGGTGCCCAAGTAACAGAGGGACAAGGACCGGTGGAAGCCGACAGCCAAACTGCTACTGATGCTGCCCCAAACTTGTCAGGTTTCTGGGACAACAAGTCTCAAGGGTCGTAACTTTCGGACGCCCCACTATACCTGCTCGACCAACCTGAAATCGAGTCCGAAGACGGAAGCGCCTGAAGTTAGAAGGAATTGGTGGATGAGCGAATGCCGACTTGGCAATGTCCGCGCGATACGACTCTAAGGATACATGTACATGCGAAAAGATGCAAGAGGTATACATCTATGCACAGGCGCAACTCCCAAGCTCTGTCTGTTTCTCACTCGATCTCCTAGTTTCCCTCTGCCCGCGAATCTACCGGAACTGCCTCGTCAGGGTCTACCTCGTCGTGCTCTACCTCGTCGAAATGCTGGTCGTCGGGCTCTGCCTCGTCGAACTGCGTTTCGTCGGGGTCCCCCTCCTCGGGCTCGCCCTCCTCCAGCTCTCCCTCCTCCAGCTCTGCCTCCTCTGGCTCAGCCCTGTTCATCTCTTCGTCCACCTCCAGCTCTGCGTCAACCGGCTCCGCGTCATCTGCGTCCTCGTGCTCTGGTTCCTCGGGCGCTATATCCTCCTGCTCTGCTTCCAGCTCACCTTCGTCAAAGACCTCATCCAGGATGTGATCCTTGCGCGAGACAAACCGGAGAGGGTTGCATGGCCTGCCATGAAGAAGTGTGGCTCTGTGGCTCTAGCAACCCCGTAGTGTTCAGGAGCTCACTTCGCCTGAATCCCAACCCCGATGTTCCGACCAAGGCATGATGAACACCAAACTTTTGCCTGGTTGCCCTGATCGCGCCAACTGACTGGGTATTTGCATGTCTCTCCTTAATCTACTTCTTGCGTTTCTCCTTCGCTTCTTACTGTCATAGTCTTGTCGCTGCGCTTTCTCTGTTCCCTCTACGCACTTGGTACTTCCCTAAAACCCGAAACCCAAAATGCCAAAAAATCACAGACATTCAGAGAAAACCCTCCGGCTGAAACCCGTGCTAAAACCCTACACGCCGAACCCTAACAGCAGGAGAAGGCGTCTGCTCGATCGACTCTTTTCCATCCGCTTATCCAGCCCCCAGAAGGGGCTTAAAGTTGCCATAGTGACCCGTATAGTAAGCCGTCTGGTAGCCATATATTTTCTAAATAACCGCAAAGTCACCCCCTTTGTCTCCTCGTCGATGCCCTCGGCGATGGCATCGATATCGTCGAACTCATCGGACTGCTTCGTCGTGGCTCCTCGCTCCAGTCAAGGTTCACGGCTTACTTGGAGGTCCATGGGTAGTTCTGACTGGAGTTATAAGTAGGGTAACCATGATTTGACCCATATTGGGGGATTTATATCTCCACTGTTTCCCCATGCTCCGTCTCGTCCACATGCTCATCATGGCCCGCATACGCATCGCACCTCCATCTCCAGATATATGTCTGGATATATATATATATATACATTTCGCTCTCCACACTTGAGCAGGCAGAGCAGCACTTGACATTGTAGATTGTAGCACGGGTTCAAGGACGAGCAAAGATCAAAACCAGTAAAGGCGAACGATGAGAGGCATCACTACCGCCACCATGGATGTAGTCGAGACCATCGGCATCAGCGTTCTTCGTCATGACTGCTATGCTACTCTGCAACAATATCGTGACCATCAACATGAGCAGCAGCAGCAGCAGCA